CAGAAAACTACCGTAGGTGTTATCGATTCAGTCGGGTCATAGATGTTATATGAACTTGCTGCATTCGGAATCCCGAAACGGAATTCAGAAAAGTAAATGGCGAGCCTTACTAGTGAAAGCGGAAATCTAAGACTATAAAATGTATTTTGAGCGAGTGTTTTGCACCTGAACTAGTTACTTACTACCTTGATGATTATATAGTTAGGGATCTCGGCACGCGGTTTTGTATTCGACACAAAACAATTATATATAATTTATTGGTCCTCTTAATAAGAGTACCTGGTCGCTGAAACGCATCCACAAAACGGGATTATTGTTTGGACGTAACTTTTTTATAAAGGCAAAAAACAATGACAAAAAAGTAAAAATTGACAAGGACTGTATTATTATATAACGTTGTTTATTGACAGGGCTTAAACTATGATGATAAGAGTCCTTCTCACAGAAGAAATGCCACAGCCTTCATGATATTTGAATTCTGCAGCTAACAGTACTTTATTTTTTTTAATTTTAATCCGCATAATTAATTCCACGGGACTTCTTTCGTGAAACAGATTAAACTAAGCATTAATGACAATGATTTGATAACAGAACAAAAAAAATAAACACCTTTCACAAATATTATAAAAATATAATCTTACTATACTATGTATAGATTTTGTGATAAAAAAATGAATTTTAGGTTTTAGGATTTGTTTTTACGTTGTAGATTGCTTAAAGAAGCAGACAACCCTCGAAAGCATAGTTAATCAGAGTCACCGATTGACGGTCACTCATTGGCTCCTTTCGAAGACTGACTGCTTTTGGTCACGGCACTGATCTAGGTGTGGTCTTTTTTAGAATACCTTTTTGCTCTTGTATATTTTTAAATTTCTATCATACACTAACTTTTCAATATGGCCAAAAATAGAAGCTCTACTACAATTCTGAATTCAGAGCAAAATTAAACGAGAGTTATATTTTAGTCATCTTTATTTCATACAAAAAGCCGACAAAAACGCACAATACACGAGCAACATTGTGAGGGGGTTTCTTATAATCTTTAATTCATAGCGGAAGGTGGGTTTGCTACGACAGTCTCAGCGCAAGACTCGTACCTTAAAATTTCCTATTCTTTATCGAGATTTTTAGGTCTAATATTTCCATCTTTCGTTACAAGCAAAGACAATTATATAATTATAGATAAAATTATAATTTTATTAAACATCCAAAAATACAAAGGATTTCCTACGCAGGTTTAAGTTAAGAATAAATTGTACTCTTAGTATTATAAAGGATAAGGTATAAAAATTTGCAGAAATATAATTGAATACTTTAAGTAAATAATGATTTATGACATTACCGCCTTGCTTATTTCAGCCACGGCGACAACTTCTGAATTTTGTACTGTCTTCTGGGCAGGAGATAATATAGTGTCCCAAGTAAATTCGCAAGCAGAAGCACTCGATGATTATATAATGATTTACATAACCATTATATATAATCATCGAGTGCTTCTCTCTTCCTGTTTCGCTTTTATTTGACAAGATTAGAGGTAGGCTATGACAGTAAAAGAAATTGACTATGTAAATATCTTACCTATATATTTAAAATTTAAAGAAATCTAAATTCTCTAAATAAAATCAACATAACAATAGAATTTAAAAACCGTTTAACCTTAAATAACAAATTATGCAAAAAAAAACCAAAGAAATATTGAAGAACAACATTTCAATGATACCCCGAGGTCTGGCAGGGTTATCTCTATTCGTTAACCGACAAATTTTATGATTTTTCTTTATGATTTTGATCTTTGTTATTTACCTAAAAATGTATTGTTCTTATTAGTATTACGTTACTATAGAAATTCTGAGGAAGTAAATATATGAACTGGAAGCGTTTTACAATTTCTTTAATATTAGTAAGGGTAACAAATAAGTACACCGGTTTGTGATTGTTGTGTGGATGTTGTGGCTAACATGTAACAGAGACCTACTGTATCCTCGATTAAGAAAAAAATGCTCATGCGTTGTCATCTTTGAAATGCTTCGTTACTGATGCTCGTTATAAATTATTTATTCACATTGATAAATTTTGAAAAAAAAACGGAAAGCAGCGGTAGGTACAAACGAGTACCACCGTACTCGCTCGACGGAAAATTTCCAATTGAAGCTTCCGTGATTGGGAGATAGTTTGTGGTAGCAGTTTATGGGCAGACGCTGTTGTGGACTTTAGTATGTTTCGTGTGGTGAATTTAGAGAACCGAAGATCTTTTTTACTGATAACAAGACATGCCATCTTTGCCTTCAAAGGTGACAATGCATTCGATCACAGCATCCAGTTATAATCATGTTGATTGTGTGCTCGTTTGTCACCTTTCTTTATTAAATAAAACTTTAAAATAGCAAGTTGGTATATTAAAAACAATTACAAATATAATTTGAATATGATGATAATTTAAATTTCGAATCCCAAGAAGAATATAATTTGATAGGCTCTTTTATTACTATTTCTTTGTCGTGGCAAATATACAAAGTTACTTATGTTTTGTTAAAAATCGGTAAATCAATATAAAACAACGCATAAATAACCTAATTAACAACAACCAGGCGAAATGAACGTGTAGTGACGGTGTAATACTAATATCGACAAGTGAATGTCATCCCGTGGGCGTCCTAAGAGGTTACATTGGAAAACAAACTAGTATACGAGTAGCAGCGTCTACCTAATAACAACTAGAACATAAAAACTGCAGTCCCCAATCCATTCCCTTATTATGGAGATGCCTATGTTCAGCAGTGCTCTTTATTGCTATAATTAATGAAAATGAAAAAATGTCAACCGCAGTCGGTCATTATGACAAACACTAACTCCTAGTTAGTAGATTGTTTGCGGACTCATAAAAAATATTCACTCGAAATAGAAATCAAGTATCAGGTCAGATATGAAAAAATGTTTTTGTATGGGAAAATATAAAACATATTTTTTACAAAAACTTTAATTAATCAAACGCATTCTTTGCCACTTTTAACGCGTTCAACAAATATCTTTACATCCCAACACTATTTGATTGTTAAAGACTCGTTCGGCCAGCAGGATACACCAGGTGAAATTGAGGTTGATATTTGAAAAAAAGTTCACACATTCTCAATTAAACCCTAAGGTGTGTGTGGCGAAGACTTAAATTTAATTATCATTACATAAACTGATATTTTGCTCTATGAAGATTTAAAAGCTAACTGGTTAATAGCAGTAACGTAACAGAATATAAAAAGGGACTGTTACTAAAAGCACTGACAGCACACAATATAGATATGGACTCCGATCACAAGACAACTCGGTCATAAGAATACACGTCCACTGAAGCTATTAAAACCAACTGGCTAACAGCAATAACAGAATATAGACAGGAACTCTTACTGCAAGGCATCGAGATAATCAAAGGACACGACCGATACAAAAGCAGAGATCAACTGGCTATCAGCGCTAACATCACAGAATATAGATACGGGCTATGACCACAAGACACTGTCATCAGAGAACACGTTCATATTGAGAATGGTAAAGTCACTGTACCCGTGAGACTAAGACTAAGCTGTTACCAAACTTCGACGCCTCCGTAGCGCAGTCGCTAAGTGTTTGGTCACGACGGTACATAGCCGTAGGTTTGAATGCCGCAAGAACAATTATTTGCATGTACTACTAAAATCGAACACATCATCATAACGTATAGCAGAACTCATCACTACAATTACGGCCCATCTTGATTTCACTGCAAACATATGTGCCTATGTTCTACAACCTCCGTAGACTAACATAAAACCTCTCCTGGATTGTATCATCACGTCGTCGCTTCGTCTAGTGAGCGTCGCCAAACACTGTGCATAGTTGTTTGTTATTCGAAAGCTTTTTTCACATTTTCCTTTACAGTATACCTAACAGAGTTAAAAGGGACACACCAATACTTATAAAGAAGTAATATATGATGTCTATGGTTCAGGATCGCGTTTTGTGTCATTCCTTGGAGACCTAAGTATATCAGTGGACTTGTAATGATGATGATGATGATGAAGTAATTATATGATATCTCATCATTATCATCACCATATCGATATATTTCTTAACATAGTTTGACATTTGGAAGAAAACAATTTTTTTCGAAAGTATTTACAATGGTTCGGTTAAATACAAAGGTTCGGGATTCATAAAATATTAGCACGAACATGACATTAGTCAAACCAATTTGAATTTTCCACTTCACTAAATACCTGCATATTATCGTTAATTGTATAATTTATTGGTTAGTTGGCTGAGGCCTTACTTAAGTTCAGTTCGGGCCCGGCAGACAATACGACAGTACGACTGCTGACGTTCTGTTGTAAAGTGCAAAACTAGCCGCGCTGAAAAATCCCGGTCAGTTTAACTTACAAAGTAAAATAGGAAGAGTGCATATAAAAATAACTGAGAAAAATATTTTCCATTATCATTCCATTTATATTTATTAATTTTAGGATAAAATTAAATTATATTAAAATTAAATAAAAAGACGTTTATAATTTATTACTCATTCACTTTCTATAACTTTTTCAAGTAGCACCAACGCCGGTTCAGTAACAGTATTTAATTTAATTACAATGTAAAGTGTAATCAAAACTTCTGTTTTAATTTGCTAAAACGTGCTCGCAAATTACCAAAAGCTTAGGCAAACAGTATGTAAAGGCCACTAGATTAATTAAAATCGGACATAAAGCGACCAAGTGGCAGTAATTGCTCTAGCATCCTTAGGTAATTAAAATGAAATATTAAAAGTTACCATTAATAAAATTAAACCACATTACATGTGCGTCGTACAACATTTAAAGGTCTCGAGGTTTACTCATGTTTTACTAAACTATTTATAAAGTTTTAGTTGAAAACACCTGATAGAATATTGTGTATTTATTCATTATCAAACTTTAGACCTAACCACACCTATAACTTTTGAACCATAGTTTGAGCTGTAAAATATTTCATATTATTAGGGCTCCTGTGATCGGCCACCGACATCCCCGCAACCTTCGGTAGACCGCCTGTCAGTGACCTGGGCCGAACCGGGAAGCATGACTTCATCAGGGGTCAATTTATTCCATCTTCCTTCTGAAACACCGATCAGCAATGAGGTTAAATTTTCACCCGCAGCGGGAGGTAAGCATATCTCGTTAAAATTCATGTATAAACCATATAAACGAAATATACAAAAAAAAAACAGAAAAAATCTTGTTTAAGAACCACTTACTTTTTAAGTTCTGTTTACAAAAGCATTAGAAACCAACCAAGAAACTTATTATTTTCTTAAACCAATTCCACAAAAAACCATTATTTCGTAATTAAAAATAATTTTCTTACAATTATTTTTATTATTTTATTAAAATTTTAATAAAATTGAAAAATATGAGACTGAAAACGATGGTGTAATATTTTAACGGTCCACATCAGGTGATGTACCGAATATTAAACCTCAATCGGAATCGCTAAAACAGAAAATTATTAAATATCCATGACAATTTATATACCTCTGATACCTCTTGCTTATATTGATTAACTTGCCAAAAGGACCTTCCCAAAATTCGTCGCCAGCTCTTGGACTATAAAATATCCAGACAGGGAAGCGAAAGGTGCGAGATACATGGTACAGCGATCGTCAATTCACCTCCACACAAGCGTGACGATTGAGGCAAATCCTTCTTACAGCTGTAGAGCTCCTTATGAAACAATGTACTTTTACGAGCTAACGAAGAAGTTGAAGAAGAATTTATTTGTGCAGTAAGCAAATAATTGTGAAATAATTTCGTTCCATGATGTGGTAAGGGCATTATATTACGTAAAAATTTACAGTACATTATCTACGTATAAATTACTGCTAAGTACTATCTATGTATATTTTATTTATAGAAGAAGTCTGACGAACAAGCACATAGTCTACCTGATGGTAGATAGATGCTGTGGCCCATAAACATCTACACCTAAAATGCAATTGCGTTGTCACCCCTAACGAGTAAGATGAAAACTCTCACTCTACGAAACAGCAGCATTAAGCTGTTGTTTAACGCTGGTATTTTGTGGGAGCGTGGCTCTTTCCCGGTCGCGCTGACCCATTACAACCACAATACAGGCATAGCCTTACCATATTATATAAAAAAAATCATTTTAGATACTAGTATTTGTCGCTACGACAAAAACAGTTTCAAGTGACGTCATAAGAATTCAAAAAATTTCAAATGTACATTCTTATAAATATATTTTATAGATTTATCGGATGATGAGGACTACTCGGCCAGCTTAAGCGTTGTGTTGCGGCAAAGACGTGCTAGTGTCCGTCGTTCTCGAAAAGGTAGAAGCAGACGACCCTCTTCCCCATTTCTACCGGATGAGAATCGATCTAGAAGACGTTCGTCTATCTTCACTACGAGCTCTGGCGAGTTAGTGTATAAATTTGACTTACTTTTATATAATTTATCCTGTCAATTAGACATACAAGTTTAATTCCTATAGCATTAAACTATATTTTTTATTATCTTTATATGTATGCTATTTACAATTAATACTGTTTGCCCCAAACTCTGCACAAAACTTAGCGAGAATTTCATACTGCGAAATTTGTAATAATATCTTCAATATTGACATAATATTATGTAATAGTTAAGACATTTAGTTTAAAACTTATATATAACAAAATTATTACAGTTAAAAATGTATTGTTTTTATGTTACATGCTTTTTTAACTTCATAATAATAATATGTGGTTGGCGGGGGAAACATAGACCAAATCCGCTGTTGGTGTCATTTTAGGAAGCCGTTGTTTACGGATACTCATTTTACCTATTTTACTGATGTTCCTTTTTTGACAACAAAATCATTAAATTCTTCTCCTACTGTCGCCGAATCATTGCTCAAACAAAATGTAAAGGCTTGTTCAAATACTTTTAAATTCCATAGGGTACTGCCAAAAGATATCGTTAAATATTTTAAAACTATTGATGTTAAGAAAACGGCAGACTTATGGGGGATTTCCGTTAAAGTTATTTTATCTATAATAGATACATTAGCACCTTATCTAGCCACTATATTTAATATAAGCGTCGAATCTGGTGTGTTTCCTGATTTAATGAAACATAGTAAAGTCATACCTATATTTAAATCTGGTAGTACATTAGACCCCGCCAATTTTAGACCAATTTCTGTACTACCAACATTAAGTAAAATTTTTGAAAAAATTATTTTAGATCAGATGTTAAGTTTCTTTAATATTAATAAATTGCTACATAATAATCAATTCGGTTTTACAAGGGGTCGCTCGACAACTGACGCTGGAGTTGAGCTTATTAAACATATTTTTTGTGCATGGGAGAAATCAGAGGATGCTTTGGGTATATTTTGTGACCTTTCCAAGGCCTTCGACTGTGTTCACCATGAGACATTAATCAGGAAGCTACAGTACTATGGTGTCAAGAACACAGCGCTTAAACTTATTATTTCATATTTAAGTAATAGAAAACAGAAGGTTATTATCAATGGTAAAAGTTCTTCCGGGTCACCTGTACTAATGGGTGTACCTCAGGGCTCGATTCTCGGCCCATTCCTGTTTCTGGTGTATATTAATGACTTACCTCACCTTGTAGGGGATAGTCATGATATAGTATTATTTGCTGATGATACTTCCTTGATTTTTAAACTTAAACGTCAATCATTTAAATGTGACGAAGTGAATAATGCTATATCAAAATTAGTGCATTGGTTTAACGTTAATAATCTGCATTTGAACGGAAATAAAACTAATTGTGTTAAATTTACAACAACGAATGTTCAAAATCTGAATACCAATGTGTTTTTAAATGGGGAGGAATTGAGCCCTGTTGTATCCACTGTTTTTCTTGGCATCACTCTTGACGCAAAGCTCCAGTGGGGCCCCCATATATCCAAATTAGCAAGCAGACTAAGTTCTGCAGCCTATGCTGTAAAAAAGATTAGAGTTCTCACTAGTGTCGAGACAGCTAGATTAGTTTATTTTAGTTATTTTCATAGCATAATGTCTTATGGGATTTTGCTATGGGGAAATGCGGCTGATTCAGAAACTATTTTTGTTTTACAGAAGAGGGCCATTAGAGCTATTTACAATCTAAAACCGAGAGAGTCTCTTAGAGATAAATTTAAAGAAATTAATATATTAACTTTGGCCTCTCAGTATATTTACGAAAATTTAATGTATGTTCACAAAAACAAAGATAGTTTTAGTAAAAGAAGTGATATACATTCTGTAAACACTAGGAACAAACACAAGCTAGTGATACCAGTTTCTCGACTCCACAGAGTCAGTAATTCATTCTTGGGGCAATGTATACGCTATTACAACAAGGTCCCGGAAAGTGTACAGGTTCTCTCTATTACCAAGTTTAAATGTTTTATTAAGCTGAAACTGTATAAAAAGGCTTATTATAGTATAAATGAATACATGGTTGATAATAACCCTTGGGAATGAGGTGATCGCTTCCAAGCAGTTTCTAAAATAAATTTTGTAAATAGTTCGTAATAATTTATATTGTAAAATTTATTTAAAAAAAAAAGTCCCGCTGGGTTTCTTGCTGGTTCTTCCCAGGACAGAGGGTTTTTTCGAACCAGTGGTAAAGTAAAAAATGACTTTCAATAAGAATTACACATGTAATGTATATTGAATAAAAAATATTCTATTCTATTCTATTCTATTCCTATTTGTGAGCCGTATAGTGAGGTGTAGGATATTAACTATTCCATACCATTCCGTGCGTATCGTAAGAGACGACTGAGGGAAACAAATCAGGAGATGGGCAGCATCGTCTTCCGTCTTCCTAATAACGACTAAAATTTAAAAAACAGCGGTTGCCAAAATGCTCATCAAGCGTGGCAACTTTAGCAAATATCCCTCCTATGAGACAATCTATGGGGGAGGCCTATAGACAGCAATGGACAGTATTGGGCTTTAACGGTAACGGTAGCGGCATGGTCTGCGCGTAATGTTGAATACCGCGAAGTTGTACAAAGTGTACTAAAAGAAAATATATCATCAACTAAAAAAAAGATACAGAAGACTTGAAATAGAATTTTACGTAGTAGAACCACGCTGCAGCTATATTATGGTTGATTGGGTCGGCTCAACCGGGGTGGGACCACGCTCTCACAGATTAATAGCTCAAAATAGTAGAACAATGCTGATGTGTGGTGTGTGTATGATGTGTGGTAACCGAAGAACCTTCTTACTGGAAACGAGGCCTTCTATCCTAGTCCTCAAGAGCGACAACACATCTAAATTTTGATTCTTAATTGAGGATAAATGTAGATGTATATGGCACAAAGCGCCTACTTACCATCAAATTAACTGTGTGCACGTTTGTACCCTTATTCTATAAAAAAATGATTATCTGTAATAATCAAAACAGTTAACTACATAAAACTATTGTAGTATAGCATAAAATGTGTAAGGTGTTATCGGGAGAAAGAGAATATTTCGACCAGTCTTTAAAATATTATCTTTTTTATTTCTATTAGCACAGCAATTTCTATTGATGAAGCACCACTGGTGACGCAAGAGCAAATCTTTGAAAACATTCATCTTCACAAGGAAGTCCTTGGCTCAGTGAAACAACAACCTCTTGGAATGCGCCGAAAGCTAAAGATTGTTCATCAGGTAAATATTTATTATTGTTTCGCAAATTTTCGCTATAAGAATAAATTATAAAAATTATAATGCTGTTTTTAGTAGTATATTAACACATTATTATTCTTTGGGTAATGGTTATTCTGTAATTACAGAATTAATGAATAGCAAAATATTTTTGTTTAACTCGAAATAACAAATAGTACATAAAGTTCAACGGCCTTACTTAGTTTAGGTACTAAGGTATAGTTTAGTTTATTTTAAACTATAATCGACGATTCGGTTTCACGAATGAGCTTCCGTGAAAATTTACATACCAAAATGAAGAAAGTAGCCTATAGACTATATGAGACTGTAGACTGTAGCTAAGGGACCGTTTAGTTCCAAAGACTTCTTAAACCATATTGAATAAAACTATTTTTACGGATTTTAACATCTTTAATTTTACTTACTTTTGTTTCATTCCCGTTTTAATTATTTTATTCTTACTGATGCTGCAAAGCACCTAAAAGATCGGAAACTAAAAATAAGTAAAATTAAACACGATAAAATTCGTAAAAAATAGTTTTATTCAATGTGTATTGTGCGCGTAAATATAACGGCAAAGTTTTTAGTCTTAGTCCTATTCAGAGACAACCTCGAGCTTATTACATAATAATTTGTGTATGATACTCAAATTCTAACATTGTGAAAATTAATTTTAAACTAGCAACTGTCTCTTGGAAAATGTTTACCTATGGGGGGGGGGGGGTTGTTATTTCATATTTGTTATGACCACATACATCTACTAAATGGACGTCAAAGGAAATAAACTCTGTGTTTATGTATTGATGACAATACAATATCTAATTAATTTTTCTGTATACTTATTTGTTACGCTTGGTTTGGTTTGCAGGCTAAAGGTTACATAAAACGTCATGAAGGGCAGCTTCAAGAACGGCTAGCGCAATCAAAAAGCACACGAGACATCTACGCTCGTTTTAACATTCTAATAGCTACGGTAATTATCATGCAAATAAATAAAACTAAGAAAAATCAAATTAAGTTAAATTAAAATTTAAGTGCCTCTTGGCAATTGCCGATATTTAAAGAAACCTTTTATAAAAAGCCCTTTACTAGTTGTACATTATTTTAAATTGTTCAAAATCATGGATCAAGAAGTATCAAAATAGAATATATTATATATTATTAATATTATTATATAATATATTATATTATATATTAATAACTATTTTTTACAAGATTCCTAATGACTACTAAATGTAAAATATCGGCGCTGCTTCATTGAGCATAGTAGGATTGATTAGTCCTATTTTTTTAATTTTTCCAGCGTAAAGATTCATTATGATATTTTCCTTAACCATTCATATAAAATCTGCGGAATTGAGGTAGCCGGAGAGTCACCTGAGTGCAGGTGCGCTTTTACCTAGTAACCGGCTTCCCCTAGTTTAAGCTTCTAATAAATCAAATATACCTAAATTTGAACAACCGCAATCGATTGCATCTAGTTTTAGCCACCAAAACCTATAAGTATCCGCACTTCGAGTTGAGGATCCTCTAATATCGGACAGGTTTGTTCAAGATGAGTAAAATATATCGATTGTCGTAAGTTTTACAATGTAAGATAAGTTAGCAATATTTGAAATTTAAATAAATTAACAAAAGGGTCTAATATCATCTTTGACTAATTTTAAATCATAATAATACTTCGCCATGTATTACCTAGTACCGGACAAAGTAAATGTTAAAGCCCTAAAACAAGTCACATTCTATCCATATCATAAAAGAAATATAAGAAAAAGATATCCTCGGTACATTGAATATTTTATTTTGTTATAATACTGTCATCACACATATGTCTATCTGTCTATGACTGTAGACACGCCAAACAAAAAATTAAAAACAGATACTGATGGGGCTTTCAATATAGTAGAGATACGTTCGCCATTACTGCTCGAGAGGAAATGAGATTGAATTTTCAAATAAATTTATAAAAAAATGAGGCCGATATTATTCTTTACTTTTGCCGTCTAAAATGATGTAAAGAGAAGTTGTGTTTTTACCCGACTCGTTCCGACCGTTCAAAAAGAAGGGTAATGTTTATAGTGTGTATGTATGTTGCATTCCAAATTGCCGGGCTCTGTAGCCAAAACAGCTTAATGGATTTTACAATATTACTTTATATTTATAGATGAGACAAAGGGTATAAATATTAGAATCTTTCTTTTCTGTTTTCAATAAAGTTTTTCTTTAATTACTTTTTTAACAATTTAGCTTGTTCTTTCATTTGTAATAACTATTTTCACTGTTAATATACTACGCTGTTGATCTTATATTAAGTAATTATAGGCGAATTGCTATCGTTTGTAATACGATACAAAGTCGATTTTATTCCACAAATATCATCAATGCTCAATAATTACTCGTTTCGAGTATTTGCTTTGCAATGACAATAAACAACGTTCAGGGCGTGGACCTTGTGGGTAGCTGCTTCTCGTTTGGTCAACACTGGCTGTTCCACATAATCTAAAGCAATTTACATACGACTACAAGCAATAGAAAACTGAAACTAATCACATCCGTATATATAACGTGAGACACCCGATAAATAGATGGCATGAAAACATGCAGAAAAAATTGCAAGTAATAGTGCTAGATTATAGCCGAATATAAAACAAACGCTACACCTTTTGAGAGTCATATAGATAAATCTCCTAAGTCTTCGACTAAGAATAAAATTTAGATGCTTTGGGAATCCGGAGGACGTAAGGACACAGTCTCTGGTTGTCTTCGCTTACTGGAAAAAAAACATAGTAGTAGTTTGCTACTATATCACGTTGGTATTCTATGTAACGATAATATGTGATAGAGTCGTACTACCTCATGAACAAGTCATCGTCGACCGCTCGACATTAGGCTTTTTTTTAAAATAACGTCTATTTAGGATAAATCATGTTATCTTCATTACAGGTACAGTTACACCATATTAGTAAAGTATCATTTACTTATTGATTTTATATACTCGTATACTCTAATGTATATACTTCTTTATCACCCCGTAATATGGGACGTCACTAGATATGGGCCTCTTCGTTTAAATGTAAATTAAACATTTTTTTTATTTCAGTTATTAAAATTGTAAATAAATGATATTATTTTGCATTTAAGGTTCAAAAAAGAATAAATTGAAAATTGACTCGATCGAAAATTAATGGCTGCTTCGTTAACGTAGTGGTCGTAACCGCAATTGTTGGTCACGAGATCTCGTGTTCGACACGCGGGTTGGGCCAAAATCAATTATTGGGTGTTTCTGCTGCCGAAACCGAAATTCAGTCGGGTGGCAATTACTTAAAAATTAAAATTAATGAGAATAATAATATGTACCTGATCGAATTTCGATCACGGAAGCAGTCTCAACGGCGATTAACCATCTGCACACTATAGGATTATACGTCACGATTATGGCCGCATGCACTGTTGCATTCTTTATTCCCTCACTCTCATATTCCAATGGACACGGTATCGGAGAGGGATACGGCTTTACGTGCCTTCCGAGGCACCTTAGGCTGCTAATAAGAATTTATTGACAAAAAATTCAAGATTTGAACCCGAGACTACATGAGTAGCGCTTACTACCACTAGACGAATGAGGCAGTCGTAACTGCGACTGCTGTTTATGTGGATTCAGATTAATATACAAAGCTAAGATACTACATAAAATTATAAACGTAACCCCGATTAGAATCCGTATAAGATTTCCTTATGTTTAGAAATTGGTGTGAATTATATATTTCACAAAGCTGTGATTAAGAACATGCCGCGAATAAATTTCAAGAAAATATTTTAAATGCCTAACAACAAAGCTTTATTTAAATGGATGTAATTTTATCTACGCAGAAATGGCAGCAACTAAAGCGCGAGGCAGCCAATACATCCAACCTGCTTATACCCTGGGAACTACGCATCAAGGAAATCGAATCGCATTTCGGATCAGTTGTAGCCTCCTATTTCACTTTTCTGAGGTGGCTGTTTTGGGTTAACTTGGTCATCGCCTTTATTTTACTTGTGTTCGTCATCGTACCTGAGGTATCATGTTGTTGTACTTTAATATTTTTTTTATTTCATATAAAATAATTCAATATTAAAATTTAAACTGTATTGTAATATACATACATATATTATACTATAATGCATTATTCGTTTAACTAACTACGTTTATATATTGCACTCGTGCATTACACTATTAAATTTAAATAAAATATCTGAATGTTTATAATAACCACTTAATTTTGATTTCGTACTGTATCCTGCAAAGTTGCTTAAGAAAAATACGTCAAAGACAACAGAAAGATAGTGCAGTAGCCATAGATAACCATAACATTAGTAACCATAAGAGTAAAAGCCTGTCAGCAACTGGTCTTAAAACATCAATGACGGGAAAATCTATACCGTCCAACACGGTATTTTAACCTACCTATCATTATTACAATTCCTCTTTTTAGGTATTATATAATATAATGACACTTAGTTCTTATGGGGTATTTAAATAAATGAACGACTAACATATTTATAAAGGTAGTTTTTCAAATTTTTCAGTATCTCACAGCGAATCCATTACAAGATGGGGAAAGAAAAATCATAATGGAAGAAGAGCGACCAAATTCTACGAAACTGCTCACAGTTTGGGAGTTTGAAGGGGTGTTAAAGTATTCTCCTATTTTCTACGGCTATTATAGTAATGTCGAAAGACCAGAATATCGAATGCCGCTTGCTTATTTCCTTACAGGCTTGGTGGTGTACATTTATAGTTTCGTCGCCATATTGAGGAAGTGAGTTAAATATATCTTTTATGGATACGCGGGATACGATGGTTGCCCGTTTAATTTTAAACATTTCCATACATTATATTGCTCTTGTTCTTGGCGATATAAGTTTTTCTTTTAGTATTTATTTAATGAATTTATAAGTTAAATTAACTATGTTATGATTTCATATTCGACGCGTATGTTGCTTTTATGTCTGTTCACCGATTTCTCTAATAAGGTTGAACTGATTTTAATGATTTTTTTATTAACTCAGTATAGTCAGTATAGTCCCATATAAGTTTTTAGAAAAAATCTCAACTAAGAGTAGAAAAATAGTACGAAATGTTTTTAATGTAACTATTTAGACGGCATTCTAGTTATATCTTAATCTTGTAATATTACTTAGTGCACTCAAAAGGTTAAAATAATTAATATTTGAAAAAAAATCGGGTCTTTCATTCTTCGATACATAATGTCTCAGCATTGATTTATTATTTTTATTATATCCTTTTTTATTTTTGAAATCGGTTTTACTGATTCTAAAGTTATAATTATATAACATACATTCACGTGACGTTCACCAAAGCGCATTGGGGCAGCAAGAAATGGCGAGTACCCAGAAGTGAGACATATATAAGCTGTAACTTTATTTTACTTTTTATTATTAATCACCGGCTGGTCAAGGTGTTTTTATAGGATAGGGTGACAAACGCGCACACAGTCCACCTGATGGAAAGTGGTTGCTGTGACCCATAGACATCTACATTTATCCTCAATAAAGAATCAAAATGCATATGCGTCGGCACCCGTGAGGACTAAGATTGAACGCCTCTTTTCCAGTAAAATGGTTCTCTACACTACACAGCAGTTTCAAGCTACCATTTTACGCTGGTATTTTGTAAGAGCGTGGTCCTTCCCCGGTCGAGCCGATCCATTCGTGCTACAACTATACTACTAATATAGCTGCAGCATAGCTCTAATAAGTATAAAAACCTCCCTTATCCCGTGAGTATAGTAAAAAGCGGCTTAGAGAAAGGCCCAATAAATTTTATGGCTTCCGATACATGGTAATATTATCATTAGGTATGTATGAACGTGTCGCTGCTATTATTTAAAAAAAAACTGTTTATCCAATTACAGCCTTGCTCTAATCTACCTAGCAGTTATCTATTTATGAGCTGATGAGAAAGAAAAGGAAGAAATTTTAATAATTACGTTAACTTTATTAACTAACGTAATTTACATAATGTATACATAATGTAACTTTTTACGTATACTTGGATATTTTTGTGATTTTTATATAACAAAAAACCTTCATCATATGTTTCTTGTTCAAGTATAGTTCAAGAAACCATATTATGTACCAACCACAATCTGCAAACTAGGTTATGTGTAAAATTATTACTTAATTCTATAAAGCGAAACAGCAAACTTATGTGATCTCAATTTTACAGAATGGCAGAAAATTCACGCATGTCAAAATTGTCAGAAAAGGAAGACGAATGTATATTTTCTTGGAAACTATTTACAGGCTGGGATTTCATGATAGGCAATACGGAAACAGCTCATAACCGTATTGCTTCAATTATTCTAAGTTTTAAGGAAGCTTTATTAGAAGAAGCTGAAAAAAAGAAAGATTTAAGGAAGTATGAGATTTATGTTCAATGAAAATTTAGGCCTGATGTAAATATTTAAGCATAATTTTTATGATAAACCCATATTTTCAGTTGGCGTATTATTTCATTGCGAGCACTGGTAAATATTTGCGTCATTATTCTACTTGGAGTATCTGCATATGCAGTAGTAACAGTGGTGTCTCGCTCTGATGATAACTCTAAATCTCACAGTTGGTGGCGAGAGAATGAAACTACTATCGTAGTGACTGTAATCTCAATCACGTTTCCAGTCTTTTTTGAGCTCCTTGGCTTTTTAGAACATTACCATCCCAGAAAACAATTGAGACTCCAACTTGCAAGGTAACTTTCTAATCAATGATAAGTAATTTAATCCTGGTTTCCTTAACATAAACGATATTTACTTTTTCAGAATTATGTTGCTAAACTTGCTCAACTTATATTCCCTAATATTCGCCCTATTTAGTAAAATTGAAGGAATGAGCAAAGAGTTAGATTCACTACAGCCTACTCTAAATATGAACGCATCTGCTGTTCCTGAAAATGCATTAGATTTAAGTGAATCCTTAATAAAAAGTGTACCAACATCGTGTTATGAAATTGCTATACCATGTTTACCTTGCCATTTGCTGACATCGTCACAGCAATTTTCTAAAAGTACTTTAAATGCAACACCAGAAATTCCTTTTACTATAAATAGGGCTACAACTAAAACACCTTTTACAGTTAACCAAAATCATAATCTAGAAATACCTCAAAACTTGAAAAAATACGACAAAAATGAAACATATACAGTAGGCGAAGAAGTACCTACTCCAAATAGTATTTTGCTTACAATAAAAGAACTTGCCCGGCTTAGAAACATAAGCAGTATACCGGGAAATACTACAGAATCAGATGAAACTATGGCAGATATTTATGACTATGACACTGATGTTGAATACTATGAAACAACTGCAGCTGATGTAACAACCTCAAGTACTTTTGCAATGAATAATACATCAGCTGAATACACAGAAGAATACCCAAACATCACGGAACAACTTAATATAATTAATAATTCCTATTTTTCGAAAATAACCATTTTAAGTAGCCCTTCCTATGAATTATCTTTAAGTACTGATACAAATAATGACACAGATATTAAGTCAACGACTGAAATTATATATGAGGATAAAAGTTTTAAAACAAGTGAGGGTTCCTCAGCAGCTACATATGAAAGTATTCTATCTCAATCGGAAACTTATACTAAAATTACAGTTCTTGACACAACTGAAGCTACAGTAGAAGAAACGAGTTTAAAAATTGTACTTAGTAATACTTCAAATGAACACAATAATGTATCAACAACTACAAATAATCCATTCAGCGAAGAAAACTTCGATACGTCAGATTTCAACGACAATATACATTTCTTCGAGAGTACAACCAGCCTTAATACAGATTGGCTAGAAATAGATAATATGAGCACAATCGCGACAGATTTTTTGACTAGCTCGTATATTAACGATTTGACGATATGCCCAAATATTACGTTCAATTGGTCTGTTAACTGTGGTGAAAAGAATATAACCCAAGTTTTTTTTCTGTTTAATTGCTCTATAACTGAAATTAAATGCTACATAAATGAATGTGATATATCAGTAATACGCAAAGATACAAATAAGCGCCAAATAAATACGACTGCTGTTGATATCGTATACTTTGATCAAAATAACAGAAAGATGTATAATCTAACAAAAGCTACTCGAAAGAAATTATTAAAACTTTGTTGGGAAACCATGTTTGGACAAGAGTTAGTAAAATTGACCGTGATGGATTTGGTAATATCAGTAATTTCATGAAAGACTGTTTCGTGCATTATATAAATTTTATCATATATAACAGTTTTCACCTATCCTTTTCAGGTATTTGTTTTATTAGGTACTTTATTTATGGACTTTTTTCGAGCTTTATTCGTGAGGTATATGAACCGTTGTTGGTGCTGGGATTTGGAGAAAAAGTTTCCTGAATACGGTGATTTCAAAATTGCAGAAAGCATTTTACATCTTATAAATAATCAAGGAATGGTTTGGATGGGAATGTTTTTTTCGCCTGGTCTTGTTGTACTTAATGTTTTCAAATTAATGATTATGATGTATTTGAGATCTTGGGCTGTTATGACGTGCAATGTCCCACATGAGGTTGTTTTTAGAGTATCCAAAAGTAATAACTTTTACTTAGCTTTGTTACTAACCATGTTATTTTTATGCGTGTTACCTGTTGGATACACTATCGTTTGGGTAAAGCCTTCATGGCATTGTGGACCATTCTCAGAATATGAAAAAATATATCAAATATTGACAAATAACATTTATAAAATACTACCAAGAAGTCTTAACTTTGCGCTTGAATATATTGCATCACCTGCAATTGTTATTCCATTGTTGGTCCTGTTGATACTGATTATATATTACCTAACATCACTAACTAATTCTTTAAGAGAAGCTAATAACGATTTAAAGGTGAGTCAAAATTTGTGATAAATTTAAGCATAAAATATACTCTTAGCAATCAAGCATGTGGCTCACCTGATGGCGAGTGACCACCGTGGAGGCTTAGAGTTTTAAGGAGAGTTTAAGTTACAGAGGCTGCACCAAATAAATTGTTGATGCGTTGGGGGTTTTTCATAGCGAGTATTTTTTGAAGGTTCTATATTCCAAATCATGACGGCCTGAAAAACGCAAGTGACTAGTAAATTCTACAAACACGGTGTGTAGTGGCCAAAAATTCTTAAAATAATGGATAGTATAAATTGGTGAATAGTAAACCATTGAAATGGTATAGAAAGAATTTAGAATCGTATCGTACTGTACGACTGTGGGACTAAGCGGCTAGAATTAACCGAAAAATTCCGCATTGTTTTAGATTCAGTTACGTCGCGAACGAACGGAAGAAAGGAGGAAAATGTTTCAACTAGCTGATACCAGAAGACGTGGAGGGCCTTCTGATATGGATAGTACACCTTTTTCACGTTGGAAAAAAGCCTTACCATCACTTCCTATGAGCAAATCTATCGATTCAGAAGATCGAAAAACTATAGCACCAGATGAAATGAAAGATAACCCAAAGATCACAAAAAAGCAAGGTAATATACCGCTTTATACAAATAAGGATACAAAAAGTGAAAACCCTGTTCTTTCCTCGAAAGTCTTATTCGACAATGTTTCATTCATTAAATAGTTAAAAAATCGCAAAAATATAAAATGTAATTGAATAGTCTGAGTAACTTATACGAAAACTCGGCGCCCAAAGGTGGTCAAACGAATAGTTGATAACGTTGAACAACTGCTTCACAAAGTCACATATCTGCTAGATCCGCCCATTAACAATAAATACTTTTATGTAAAGATTAATTAATTACTCATCAAAGATATCGATATGACAGCTATTGCATATATGCTGTTCAATGTTTTAGTCACTAGTAATGCGACGAGCCATGCATACACTAGCTCTCACCCAGGTACATCAACATGCTAAAATATAGTTGATTAAAGTACGAGAGTTAATTACTCAAATCGCCAATAATAATTTATAATAACTGTTAAGCAACGTACAAAGTCAGGCATGTGGCACGAGAAACGAAGCGTACGCGGCCGGTGTTTTTGATTTTCATCTTCACCTTTTGTCAGAAACAGTAATGCACTCTGCTGAGGATAGACTAATATAACGTGAAGTATATTTTTGTTATCCAAAAAAATATTAATATTATAAATGTTAATTCAGATTTTTTTAATTTGCTCATTTTATGAAAAATTGTATTTAATTCTTAGATTTTGAAATTATAATAGTTCTTCATGATTTTAATATTTTTCTATTTATTTACTATACACTTATTATTCTATTACACTTTATATACTTAAATATTTGCATATAAGTACAATATTCATAATGTCCCCTTTTATCCCCCAGGTGGAATATTCGCAAAAATTGTTGGCCTAGCCCTTGATAAAAAGCCAATAATAAAAGCAGAAACATCAGAACTGCCATTGCCACGAACTGTCGATGATGAAACAGACACCGAATTTCATGAAAATTTACCAAAAGAAATATTAAAAATCAAGGATATTACTGTCGTCAAAATGGCAGATCATAAGAAAAAGTCTAATGTAGAATTCAAACCCAGTGACAGCGGGTTAGCAAAACAAAGAACTGAACCAGTTAAAATAAAAATAGAAAAGAAGGCTATCTTAGAGAAGTTTAAAAAAGATAAAATCATTGAAGAAGATACCTCCTCTTTATCATATAAGACAGCGAACAAAGAAATAACTGAAAAAAACTATGAAACTCTTGAAAAAAAAATCAACAAAAAGCAGACATCAGAATCAAGCACTCAGTCAAAGCAATCAGATTCAATTAGTTCCGTAATACCTGTTATAACTATTAGTACAACAGAAAGTGATGATGAAATTTTGCAACCACCGAGAATATCAGAGGAGGCCAATAGTAAAAAAAGTGAATATCAAACTAAGAAGGAAGACCTTGCAAAAAAATCTAAACGACATACTTCCGATTTAAAGTCACTTCGTAGACAAAGCAGCGTGGATAGCATCAATGATAACAAAGCACATAAAGGGAAAATGTCAGAAGATGGACATAAATATCAATATTCCTTGTGAATTTTAATTATTAGAGTAAATAAAAAAAAGTTTAATAGTGTTGAAACTACATAATATTTATTGAAAATATTACATGCATATACATAGGTATATTATATAGGTATATCTCAGAATAAGATTCTGATTTAAATGATACTTTTTTTATATTGAGATCTCTGACACTAAGTTATCAATTATCATAGCTGGTACTTGATTTAAAATTTTACTCGTAAAAAAAGAGTATTTTATAAAATATTAACACACACACACATAATAAAAACTTCGATGGACATTCAAAATTATTTTTTCCAGTGTATAGTGTACCTCTGGCATGATTATCAATCTGTTTATGTAGACATTTATGTAATTAAAATTATTTTTTTTTATTACATTAGCGGATCGTTTGCGATCTAATGTTAATTGATAAATGTTAACATAATAATTTACATCTAGCGTGCTAATGTTTATTTTTCGGTCTTGAATAAAGAAAGGTTCATTTTGTTTTCATCGAACTAATACCAACGGACATGCAGAAATGTGATAAAATAGACACAAATAAATAAATTGAGTAATATATATATATATATATATATATATATATATATATATATATATATATATATATATATACATATATAATATATTATAAAATAAATTAGGTCTAAGATATATACTCAAAACTTTTTATTGAACACAGCGTACAAATGCATTCATAGAAATATTTCAGTATCGCTGCGTCGACCACTCCCCCCCCCCCCCCTCTCTTCATATTATATACAAATTACAAACAGGTCGATGCACAGGCTATCTCTTCTCTGAATTTGTTAAAAAAAATTAATCTCCGCTACCCTTCCCGAACCCTGTGGCTTACTATCGATGAGTGGGACTTCATCACTCTGCGACAGGCCGGCGCACGCGCAACATGGGGCGTGCTGTTGCGCTCCTAGTTTTATATTTGAGCGCCGCTTGCGCAGAAATTTTGACACCCCCGTACTTTAACTTAGCGTTTGGAAAGAAAATTACCGCAACAGCAACCTGCGGCGATGAAGGACCGGAACTATACTGTAAACTGGCCGGCGCCAACGCCGACCACGACGAGCATGTGATCCAAGGACAGGTATTGTTTTTCTTTATTACACATTCACTCAGTAAGAATTCGTGACAGCTTATAATAATATTATTGTTTACTTTTTATTTTGTAATTGTTACGCAATTTAATGATAAATTTTGATCCGAAGACCAAGGGTGTAAAATCTGTTATACTAATTTTTAAATATAGAACTCTTTTTTGTTTTAAATTAATATAAAATATTTTGTAGTTAGTGTTATATAGTGAACCAAAAATATTATGCATTTAAGCGCATAATATTTTTAAATTCATAATATGTATTTAGTAAAGTAAAGAAAAATTGATACATGTGCATATCAGTTAAATTTGATGATGATGTAACTAACATGTTTGTGTATTGTGTTTGTGCTATATAACTATCTTTATAAATAATGTTGAACATCAGGATTTAATTAACAGAATACCTATTGTAAAAATGAAACACAGCCTCCCAACTATTAGTAAGCCAAACGGGAACTGTCGATAAAGCTTTCTTATCGTACTCGCGTCGCGTCCTGTTGGCCAACCATCCCACAGATAACAGTCAGTCCCCGGATACATTGATTATAAAAACTGAGTTTACTTACTATTTTTCGTTTTAAATTAGGCATTTTTATAGTAGTAATAGTCTCCTTGCGAGTTTATCCAATCCAGAACATTTTGAAAAACTCTCCTAAGACATGAAACAAGCTCTATGTATTCTGAGAATTCACGTACGCTTTGAAATGATAACTTAAAATTTGCAATATAAGCGATTATAATATTATTCACATTTGAAGTACTTTATAAACTATTGATTATTATACTTATTGTGACGTAAAACAGTAAAATTATAATTTAAAATTATATTAGGGTCTTATGTTATAAAGAAAATAAACAATAAAAAAGCAAATTTCGAAAATTACTGTATAATGTTTTGATTTTATTTAATTTTCCAACCACTTTTTACGTAAAACAAAAAGTAATCACTAAAAATAAATTTTGTAATAACAATATTTTGGTTATTTTTTTATTTAAATAAGTATTTATTTCAGAAAAATTTAAGATTAATAAAATCTTTGTTGCTTCTCTCCCACATTTACATCTAATACCTAATATAATACCAACTAATAGGTAGTTGATATGAAATGAGAATGTTCAGGGTCCAGCATTTAGTTTTTTCATGTTTTTTCTTCGAAATACAGATATCGGAAATCATTGCTGAGAATCATCGCTTTAATATTCAATGTATAAATTTTATCATTCAATTCACTGTTTTAATCAAGTGAATTAACTACTTTTTAAGAGGATTCAATTAGTAATAATAATTTACATTTTTCTATTATTTTTTTCTCTAAGTCATAACCTTTATTAAGGTTCTAAATTTACTTATATCTTTACGCGTACGCAGTTGCGTTAACGAACTGTTATATAAATGAAATTGGTATGTAACGTTCGGCACCAGTTCATTCATTGTAATTCGTTGATAAGAAGTTCATAAGTCAACCTAGTATTTCGAAGAGGCCATTACACTTTACGTATGTTGTATATTATTTATAATATTCTTATTCTTGTCACTTTCTATTATAATGTATTTAAGAAGTGATGTAGATATTAAGAATAATAGATAATATACGTAGATATAGGAGTATGGACGTAGAAGAAAGAGGTGTATCAGGATCGTATACACAAACTTCGTCTCCAACGTTTCACCTGCACACAATGCACGTTTCTATAAACGAGTGCTCTCTACCTTTCTGGATTTAGAGTGGTATACAGTAGAAGTAGCAGAAGCTTATTACTTTAAACTTATTTAAAATATTAATTTCAATCTATTGTGGATCAAATCTTGCAATGAATTTTATATCAGATTCACTCAACCGTTTACCAATACAATCTATATAATACAACTACTAATAATACAAATTAGTATACTCAGTTAATTGTGTACTTTTTTTTTAAAAAAAGACCGCCGCTCCGATGAGGAAGACATATTTTTCTCTTTACAACCTCCTCGGTATGGATATCAAATGAAAGGATTTGTCAAGCAAAATTTAACAGGCCACGCAGAAACATGAGAAAAAAGTTTTTTTTTTGTATGTGGCACAGGCCAGTTTTAATTTCTTTTGAAATTACGATTAATAAAAAGTAATGTAAGAAGCAAACGTTCCAATTTCAAATTTTTCTTCACATTTTTACTAGCCAAAATGGAATTTATTGTTTTCGTGCGACAATTTTTTACGAATGTCGACTAAAACCAGACGAATCGTATGATTAACATCATGTGGCATTTATGAACAAAAAGGTTTTCTAAAACAATTGTGTACCGTTGATTTAAAAATATCAGCAAGGATGACAAATTTTAAGAAATGGAGTGATCACACTGACGGCTGTTACGGAAGGAAAGGTGGTAGCAATGAAAAATGTTATTGAAGAGAATGGGCGAATTACTTATAGAAAAATTCAGGACATATTGCAGGTTGGATCAGAAATCATTCACGAGATTTTATACTAACACCTTCGCTTAAGGATAGGCAGTTTTGCGTGGTGTAAATGTGCGGGTGACATGATTACTAAATGTTAAACATGCTCGTCTCGTCGTTTTTGCGACATTGTTACATATATTATACAATCCAGAAAAAAATGAAACTTTGTATAGATGCTGATGGAGCGTACTTTCAAAGATTTTTAAAAAAGAAACATAAAATTATAACTTTTTAGTTCCACATGACTTTCTAAGTGGCCGCAAACGTTACATCTAATTTCAATATGACAGATGCTCCATGATGGCGGACATCAACTTATTAATTTTAGGTTAACAATAAAATTAGGACTTTAAAACCCTAGTTCTTTTGTGACTATAGGTACAAAAGAACTAGGGTTTAAACGTGAGGGATATATCTAACCCACAAAATTGTTACATAAACATTCAATGTTATTCACATATAAGATATCATTTATAAAGAATAGATGTTACAGCTTACAGCTTAACTTTTAACTTTCTTGTTAATTTTTTACTTTAAATTTTGATTTTATTATTAATCATTTATCTTACCAATCATCACATTTAAAATATTTGAATAAATAAAAATGGAATAAAAATGATTTTACGGATTTTGTATCGTTCAATTTTAACTTTTTTAATTCCTGACGTTGTGGGCACTTTATTGCATCCATGGTCACGAGGGTTAAAAAAATTCGTAAAATTACTTTTATTTCATATGTTGTATTCGTGTATATATAAGAAATTGTTAAATAAAATGCTTAAAGAAACGAAAAATTTAAATATTTGTTAATATAAAATTTCTTTAATTTTATTATTTATTTCATTCAAATATTTGCAATATCGGTATGTACTGTACCGATAGATACCTATATATTTTTTCTTTGCGTACTAAGCTATAGTGTTAGTGGGTTTTACTTAACTCCTGATATACATGGTAGGTACAAACTTTAAGAATACACACAAATTCATTATTACACTATATATTATATTGCCTAGTAGTAAAATTTTTAATTACATTTTATTCATGTCAATGCGATATATGCGTATAATGTGTTATTAACGTTTATTAAAATTTATATGATCCGAAGTGTGTTCCAATATTTGATACTACAAAGGCTATAATTTGGAATAGCCGTTACCGCTCGGAGAACTTCGTCAGTCTTCGGGACGTTTCTTGATATTTTTGCGGACATGTGGTGGCCAAATGCGTTTGCGCATCCCAACTTGTGCCGCTCTTTTGTTCCGCTCAAATCTCACACAATGGCGTTCAAATTTGAATGTTCTTTTTTTCGGCACATGCTATTCGCGTGTTTTAAAAAAAGACTAAGTTAGTGAATAAAGGGATTTATTGGATGTTTTCAAAGAGTCTCTTTCTCTTCACGAAAGTGGGATGATGATGATGTAATACAATATTTTTACACCATAATG